ACATTGGATTTATTTACCAACAAACAACTTTCTCTCTAAATAATAAAATTTGTAAGATAATTTATCTCAATAAATTTACAAGTACAAATATAAAACATAAAATTAAGAAAATAAACAAAATGATTAAAAAGATTTGAGGGCTATTTTTGTATTTACAAAGATCAATCCCATGGTACCAAATCCTATGTATTACTAATATGACCTTTCCCAAATGGAAGATATTAGTTATACATCTTATAATAGTAGGATGTATAACTAATTCATGGATTAGTAATGCATTTGCCTAAAATCCTATCAAACATAGTACTAAATAATACCATACATAATACATGAAGTATTCGTATTAATACTGCCTACCAAACGACTCCTAAGTGTGCTTGTTTTTATTCATGTTACAATCACTTAATGAGTCTGCAGACTTATTAAAATTTGTAACAAAATTTTAATATCATTAAGATATTTATTATAAGATTTCTACAAAAATGATGATTCACCAATTTCATTTATTTACCATTATCACCATCAGCCACCAATATCAACCACCATCATAGCCATCCATAGGTGTCATCTCCCACCCCCATTACTGTGGATTGTTATAATTAGTTGTCGATACAATTATCAACTGATTATTCAATAAATTAAAAAAACTAGAATCTTCGACTCATAAACTTTAAATTCGTCCTAATCCCCCTTCTAATCTCAAAACGTTTGATCTTTCCTTCCATAATATATTTGTATTCTTCCAACAAATTTTTGTACATTTATTAAAGAGAGTATTAACGTTTTCTTTCTATTAATCTCCCTCCCTCTCTCACACACATACACACACATTGGACATACACAGTACAGGCTGTCAAGATGAATAATTAAACGTTTTAATGTAATTAATCAATTAATTAGTGGAAGATTGTTTTGTTGTTTCTCCAAGAAAAAGGTGTAAAAGATGATATTCTAATTAAGATGTAAAATATCATCTATTGTTTCATTCAAGCTCAACCCATTCTTTGCTTCTTTAATTTTCTCAATTCTCTCCTAATTTTTTTGTCACAAAAAAAAAAAGTAGAGGTGCAAATCATCAATTGATAACAAAAAATTAAAGACAATCTATCTTTCAATGAAAGAATTCCTTGGATCCCATCATACTTCAAATTTCAGGTAACTTAATTCCTCTTCTTTTTTATTTAATATAAATAATTGATTTCTCCACAAATTAATGAGAATATATAATATATTCTCATTAGCTTCCTATTGATGTGAAATATTGTTCCTCTTTTTGTTTTTTCAATGCAATTATTTCTACATTTTTGTTTGTCATCTCATGAATCTTATATTCTTTTTATTATTTTCAGTATACATTTTGAATAATTTGAAATTGTCTTGCAATTTCAGTTTTATAACTATATGAAGATAAAAAGTCTTGCAAATCATTTTAATATGAATTGATGAAATTGTTGCACAAAAAGAAAACAATGAATTTTTAGCTTTGGATGTTATGGCACAGTGTATGAGTGTGTGTTATTTTTATTTTTTTGATATATTTTGGCATCTTTTGCGTCATATACAAGTTTTATCCAATGCCTTTATTTTGACTTTCAAGAAGACTAATAAAAGCTTTTTAAGTTTCTATATCAATAGTTTCCCCATTATTTCAAATTTATTATAACGTGATTGATGCCAATTAAGGGCAAACACAAAATGATTAATGAAACACCACCCAAAGTTTAAAGTTACTAATAAAAACTTTTGAGTATTTTTATATTCTTAATTAAAGATTTTGATTTCTAATTTTGAAAAATAATGTCTTCTTTAATATTCAATCCTTAATTACCTTTAAAAGTAAGATTTTTCGATAAATTTATAATTGATTGAGCCTCAAGAAGATATCAAACATCAAGTGGAAAAAGCCATATTCAAACAAGTGGAATTAGAAAAGGCATCTAAGCATGCACTAAAAAAAAGATGATTAACTTTATATTGAATACTAATTAATTGGTGTTCCTTTAGATGAGATTCTTGCAGCAATTTTTGACTTGATCTTTTGAAACACACACATATTGTTTACCACATAAAGTAATTAATCTTTGAACCACTTGATGTGGTATAAATTTCAAAGGCAAGCTAAAGGAACCTTGTTTTTTTTATTTATTAATAATGCCGAAATGAAAGTAAACATGATAATAAATAAATAAAATTAGAAGTGACAATGGTGGAACAATATTCGGCCCAGTGGAGTATTTAAGATATTCTACAACTACATACATTTTTTAATTAGATTTTTTTCTTAATAAATAGTAATCGTTGTGTCTGATTTAACTTTCATGCTAATTTCATGAAATATTCTTCACTTCTCACCGTATATCGATAACCTGTATCAGGTAACTGATTGCATTCATTCTAAAAGTCTCTTACTATAAGTGTTCCATATTGCTCTCCACATTATTATTATCCATATATACAAACAAGTTTACCATGGGTGGTGTGGTGGCTTGAGATACAAGGAAAAGACCATCATCATATACAAATAAGGTTTCTACTCCGATACTCATATCGCTATAATATATGAAAATGTATGGTGGTCTTATTACTATTTTAGCCTTAATATCATTTGTAATTTTCGAAATACTCTTTTTGAAACAAAACTCTTATTGACATTCATCTCTCTTAATTTCAATAATATTGAATGTTGTAGGAATGGGAACAAGACTCTTATATGCCAAAAATCCAATAGCTAGTAATTCCCCAAACAATTCATACAAAATTGGCAATTCAAAATGGATAGAATTATTGAATTGAAGAGTAGTACAGAATCCATCAAGAGGACAATGATCATGCATGAGGATATTTTCAAGCAGCAGGTACACATATTTATGTATATACTTCCTTTTCATTCAATTTGTTTGATACGGTTTGATTTTGCCTTGACGTTTAAGAGAGAATGAAAGAATCTTTAAAATTTGTTATGTTAAACAAGTCATAATATTCGTGTGACTACGGAAAATTATAATCGTAAATCAGCATAACATTTGTACCGTTATAAAATATTCTCATTAGAAAGATATAGAAATGTATCATTTTCTGAAACAGCCAAACAAAATTAAGCGGAGGGAGTATTTATTTAAATTGATGTACTTCTTTTTATAGTCATTAGTTAATTGGTCCATTAGTGTACCCCTAAGATTAAGGAGATAAAAGGTAGTCTTGAGTATTTAATTATTGTCATCCAGTTTGTGACAGATCAAAATCACATGCTTCACAATTTGTCTAGTCAATGACACCCTAATTAATTTCACTTTTTTATGATTAGCTTAACTGCGCATGGATCTATAGAAATAAAGAAGGAAAAGTTTGACCAAGTAAAAACAAATGGATTTATATTATATACGCGCTACACCAAAAATAATCTTTAGTGACATTTAATTATCGCTAATATGTACTTCAACAGCAATTAGCATTTTTTGTAATTAAGTGTTTCTAAAGCCTATAGCGACATTGGATTCAATGACAATTAACTAATGTTTGTAAATGCTTTAGCACTCTTTGTTAATATATATATTTATTGCTGCTAAAAGTTGCTTTTGTTATAGTGACAAATAGTATAGTGATCTTTACATTATCTATGTAATTCAACTTGTTATAACATGTTTTTTTCTTTTAGGTTGCCATTTAGTTAATGACTTATTATAGGAAGTTACCTACAATTATTGTCAATGAAGTAGTATGATTGTCTAATACCGGTCAGTGCATATAACTTAAACTGCGACAGGTAAAAGAGCTCCACAAACTATACAATCTTCAAAGGAAACTGATGTTGGATGTGAAGAATGAGATGTCAAGGATAGAGGATCCAAGACACAAGTCTATGATCAACAACATGTCTACTTGGCAACAGCCTAGAAGAGAAATAGAGTTTAATGGTGTTAATGTTTATGGTTTAGGAGATGATCAACAAAGAGAAACAAGTGGTAGTTGCTCAGGTGAGAACTCAAAAACAATATTAATACCAATTAGAGGATTGAATATTGAAATGGAAGAAAGAAGTTCAACTAGTAATTATGAGGATGAGAAGATGAGAAATGATGAGGAAACAAATGTGGAGCTAACACTAAGTATTGGACCTAGCAATAGTAAAAAAAGGTTGAAAAGTCATAATAAAGAAAAGGAGATAAGTTTTTCTACTTCAACCAAGTTTGAAGAGTGTGGTGATGCTACTTCAAGTGCTATATTCAACAAAGAAAGTGCCACTCAAGCTTATTGGTTTTCCCAAGATCTTAGTTTAAATAGGAGATCATAGGTTGTATTAACTTCAACTTCATTCTTTTGTACTTAATATATGGAAGGCTAGTTTGTAATTCCTTCAAAATCTTCAATGTGCTTATTTATCAACTTTCATACTTGTATATTTTCACTTTTTGTGTCAATATTTTCATAGTAGATAGGTTTGAATATTTTGTCGCAAGTGGTTGAAAGTTGTTTGAGGAAGATCTCCGATCACTGTATTGGCAATTCAAAATGAACTTCTTCCATGTCAATAATAGTACTAAATTTCTAAAATTAGAGAAGACAGATGAAATCAAGCTTTGAAGTTGGAAGCTAAAAGAAAATTGTCTGTAAATTAGGTCAAACTAGAGTGTACAGAAGGAAACTCACTCATAAGCAAATTTAGACTTCTTCTTTTTCCAAGCAAATTTAGACTAAGTGAAGCAAAATTAGCTATTAAATGATACTTGATACATCATTATGCAACAATATGGATCGAAGTCCAACTTATTTTCATTTGCACTTGGATCATATATGAAAGCAATGAGGTATAGTTCATCATTTCAGAATAACTTTGCAAATAAACATAATTTACTTCAAAAGTGAATGAAATTTGTCTCATTGCCCATTCAAATAAAATGCCACAACATAGATAGTTGAACAATGATTACTTATCAAATAAATACTTGAATAAACATATACATTATTAATATAGTTGAATAATAACCTAACACAAAAGGAAGTTAAAGACAAGCTGGAACTATTGCAGTTTTGTCATTTTCAAAATGAAAAACCACCACTTTTTATGAATAATATACACCCATATTATCTCAAAAAGTGCAGGCTCATATATATGAGGTGTCATGTCAAATATAAGTAGACAGTAAGACATGCTACTGCGTCCACCAATAAAGGCAACATAATCTGGACTCCAAGGATTGCATCTTTTAGAAGGCGTTGCGTCTCGAATCGAAGTCGAGACAAGATTTTGATGTCAAAAAAACAAACAATCGCGGAATTAATTAAGAATAAGGTAAAATTAAAGTGGCATCAAGAATGAGCAAGTGCAATAAGTTGATCAACAACAGTAGGATCAGCCAAAGTACTTGTGTCCCCAAGCTCATCTAAGCTGTTTGAAGCAATTTTTCTCAATATTCTTCTCATTATTTTGCCACTTCTTGTCTTTGGTAGACCTGGTGCCCAATGGATCTTGTCTGGTGCAGCAAAACCTCCAATCTAGCATTAATGTCAAATAATTTTATTACTTTTCGACATAGGCCAGTTTTCATATCTTTCTAACAAAGACAAATCAAAATCATACCTTATCTCTAACAACTTTGATAAGACTTTTTCTGAGTTCCTCACTATATGAAACACCTTCAGCCAAAGTAACAAACGCGTATATCCCTTGTCCTTTAACATCATGCTCCACGCCAACAACAGCAGCTTCAACACATTGAGGATGTGAAACTAAAGCTGACTCTACTTCAGCTGTGCCAATGCGGTGTCCACTGTACATATGCACCATATAGTTCAAATAACAAAAGCAAGTAAATTAGATGAATTAGAACGCGTGTATATATTTACCTGACGTTAATAACATCATCTACTCTGCCAGTGAGCCAGTAGTAACCATCTTTGTCCCTATACATGCAACCAAGAGCTTATATATACACGTACATACGTATGTATTATGATCATGAAAATTAGTTAACCAGGTATGTACCTGTTGCAACCATCACCCGTAAAGTAATATCCAGGAAAGGCACTAAAGTATGTAGTTTCATATCTTTCATGATCTCCGTAAAGTGTTCTGAATGCAGAAGGCCATGAATTTTTCACGCATAAATATCCACTACACTCACCTTCTAGCTCCACACCCTTCTCGTCCACTATTACAGGCTACAATAATTAATAAATATTTATTACATCATAGTGGACGTATTGTAATCGCCATAAAATGTAGCATGTGTCCTGTTATAGGTTACCTGGACACCAAAAAATGGTAATGTAGCAGAACCAGGCTTCTGGGGCCAAGCTCCTGGCATTGGAGTAATCTGCAAGACAAAAAGTAATAATAATGAACTCAACTCTAAGAGGGTATGTACGTACGTACACTGTAGTGTTTATTCAACAACTTACAAATGCATTATAGTGTGTGACCATCTCATCTAAAAAGCTTAAGCTGTCAGTAACTAGACGGATGTATTGGAAGAAACTAAGAATTTGATATGCTTCATTTCATTTCATTATTATTATATAGAGAAAAGAGGAAATACCATGAAACCTCCAGTTTCTGTTTGCCACCATGTATCAGATATAGGGCACTTTCCATCTCCTACAACATTGAAAAACCATCTGCCCGAAAACATTTTTTAAAAAAGATTAGTATTTGTTTTTCAGAAAGTTGTCATATTAAAGAAAAATAAATTAAAAGATGCATATATAGGTATAAGATAGAAACCTCCATGCACTAGGATTGATTGGCTCGCCAACACTTCCCAGCACCCTCAAAGATTTTCTTGAATATCGAGTCACATGCTATAAATAAATTTATTAACAAATCAAAAATATTTCCATAATAACAAGAAACATTTTATGATCAAATAATAAGAAAATTATATTTAGGTACATACATAAACTTCTCGAATCAGAAGAATTTTTACTCTTGGAGCCAAAATAAAATTTAAGTGAACTATTTTTTATGATTTTATTTTTACATAAATAATATTAAAATTTATTTTGTAAAAATGTATATTGAGCTACCCTCATGTGGAACACAAGTTACTTGAAAGTAATTGATTAAGAGAATTAGATAATAGAGTAAGGTGTAGGCTTACCTCGTCTCCCTCGCGCATGAGAGATCTTACTAATGTGGGAGCGGTGTAAAAAATTGAAATTTTATACTTATCAACAATATCCCAACAACGTCCTGCATCTGGAAAATTCGGAGCCTGCAACATATGAGTCATATATAAGGTAAAAATCACTAGACATATTTTTTTTGGGGGTTATTCATATCTATAATGAAACTCAAACATATTTCTTTAAGAAAAATGTTAAAATGAAGTAACATATTACCCCTTCAAAAACCACATTGGTTGCTCCATTCAGTAAAGGTCCATATGTAACATAACTATGACCAGTAATCCAACCGCAGTCAGCTGTACACCTACAAAACACAACAACAAAAAAAGTATTTTAATTAATAAATAAAGGGAAAAAGGACAAATATACCCCCAAACTATCATGTAAATGGTATGCAGATACCCTCCGTCATACTTTTGGACATTATATTATATATATATATAACATAAATCCATTTGGTAAAGATATTGAGGAAAGAAACTAAATGTGTTGAAGGACATACCAATAAATGTCTTTTGGTTTGTAGTCAAATGCATACTTGAATGTTGTTGCAGTGTATACCATATAGCCTCCAGTTGTATGAAGAACACCCTTAATATATTAACATCAACTAAAACCCATCAAAATATTGTAACATATATATATAATAATAATCGATACAAACATGAAATTTTACCTTAGGCTTTCCAGTACTGCCACTAGTGTAAAGTAGGAAAAGTGGATCTTCTGCATCAACCCATTCTACATCACATGTAACTGGATATTTTGGAACAACATCCTGAAATAAAATTTTGTAAATATAATATACCTAAACTACAAGTGAAAAACGAAAAGTAGTACTCCGTCAGTCTCAATTTATGTGACATCTTTCGAATTTCAAAGTTGGTTTGAAGTTTGAACTAACCTGCCACCAAATATCTCTTCCTTCAACCCATTTAGTCATTTGTTTTTGTAATGCTGATTCATTCTCAAAAGTCAAACACACATCTGCAAAGAAGTAAAAGAAATTATATATATGTAGCGCATTAGTAATATTTTTGGATATTAATTAGTAGTAATTTAGTGACCTATTTTGACTGAATTTTGGGCAGATTGTGTTAAGGCATCATCAACAATGTCTTTGAGAAAAATAGTCTTTGCTCCTCTCTTAACTGCACTGCATGTTATCACAATTTTTGGTTTGCAATCCACAATTCTCTGTGCAAGTGATTCTGCTGAGAACCCCGCAAATACTACCTGTACAACTTCAATCATTATGTTTCAAATAACTAATTCCTATCATAAACATCGAGCATGAGTAAATTTTTATAAATATTTTTGCATAAATAATTGAACGAGATATCGATAAATTAGAAGAAGATCAGATAGCTACAATTTACGCAAGAGAAATATATTACCGAGTGAATGGCACCAATGCGAGCACAGGCAAGCATAGCAATCGGAAGTTCCATTAGCATAGGCAAGTAGATGATAACTGCATCACCCTTCCCAACTCCAATACTTTTCAAGTAATTTGCCAACTGTCACAAAAGTAAATTACACTAATAACATAAATAATTTTAAAATTTATCAATGTATATAGTATGTTGGAACCTATATTATTTTCATTGATATTTCGTGATTTTAACTTAAAATAAGTCGCAAATGCTGACTTGAAGCAAATTTCAACCGTTTACATTTACTAAAATTGTGATTCTTACTAAATTTAGAGAGTTAGGAGGAAAGTTGAGGATAATAAATGTAAGATGTTGAACATATAAAATTTCTTTTTTTTTTTTTTTTTTTTTGTATTTCGTAGAATATTAATAGAGAAGTGATGAAATAAGAGTGACGAAAAAAACCTGACAAACTCTGGCCAAAAGTTGAGTGTACGTTAAAGTGGCATCACGACCAAGGTCATTTCCTTCCCATAAAATTGCAACTTTGTCACCATTTCCAGTATCAATATTTCTATCCAAGCAATTGTAACATATGTTTGTTTTACCACCTTTGAACCACTGTTGAAAATTACGTAAGACATGAGAAACTTTTTAATTTTACATAAGTGTTGTGTTACCCAAATTAAATTTTAGGAGAAACAATTACTATAGTGAAAAATAATGAGAAAATATGGAAGATGGTTAAAAGATGAAAATGTTGACATAAGAAAAAGACCAATTTATCCCTGCCACTATTTTAGCTAGTCTTAGAAATACGGAGACATTTAAGGCATCAAGCCGAGTAAAACCATTCTTAAAAAAAATAATATTGAGTCGAGTTGGATCAAATATTTAATTTTGTCTAGTGTTACGTGATTAGAAAATCAAATTCATGGTAATTTGATTTTAAGAAATTAATCATTATTAAGTAAAATTGATAATTGAATTATTCAAATAACATTAACTTCTTTTTTTCTAAATAACATTAACTTAATCAATAGCCGGCAAAAAAAAAAAAAAAGTAACAATAAATTCAAAAAAAAAAAAAAAAGAAGCACAGACCTAAATTTCTTTGATTTCTGAAATTTTAAATACTAATTACATTTTATAACATGTCTAAAAGTATCTTATGTAACAATATCTATTACAAAAATTGATTGCATCAAATTAATTATAAAAACTATAAATAATTACTCCCTCTATCTCAATTCATCTGACACATTTCATTTTTCGAAAGTCAAACCATCTAAGTATGATGGAGAATTCACTCATAAAATCTTCAATTTTTTTAAAATGAAAATGAAATTTATATATTTGTAAACTATGTAAAAAGTACTATAAAAAATAATAATTGACAATTCAAAATATTTATGAAAAATTTACGGTCAACCTCGAAATTTGAAACGTGTGACAAAAAAATGGGATGGGCATTTTACTAACCTAATTATAATTAGAGTAATAGATACTAAATTTTAATTTAAAAGTAAAAAGTAATTATTACATCAGCAAATGGATGAATGAAGGTTTAACCAAGCGGTTGTATGCCGAATTTGTATGAATATAGTTAATTGGAGATGAAAATAGGAACCTGAATATCAATTTTGCCGTTGCGAATGTCAAGATTGTCGGTGTAAACAGGTTGCCCCCATTTCTGTTTCCAATAAAATTCCGATGCAATGTCAGACCAGAATCCGGCGGGATCCTCCACCGACCTACCATACATCTCCGCATACTGCACTCATAGATTAACATCAAAACTCACAAATTAATCAAATCTGTAATGTTAGATGATGGATGGGTGAAGAAAACTAACCTTTTGTATAGAAGAAACATGAGCTTGTTTGGAGAATTCCTGACTGGGGAACACAAAATTAACTTCCTCAGATGCAAGAGCTTCCCCAAGAACGATACTATTGTTATTTGCTGAAGAATTGAATTCCATACAAGGAGGAATTAATTTCATCTTCACCCACTTGCCTCTAATTCTGCTCTCTTCCGATCTGAATTCTATTCTGATCCTTAATTGCTATGCTATTCACTCTTCAATACATGATGCTACTACTTTTATTTATTTAATTAAAAGGGATACCGGTCAAATCTGCCATCCCTAAAAATATAATAATACATTTATTTATGACACCAATGAGTATTAATTTTTGAGCAAGTCAATCATATAAAACAACATCGTTTGGTGTGCATTATAATTTTTTCATCTTTATAGTTTAAATAATTTGAATTTATATTGTCTTTGATTTATTTGAAAAAATTATTTTTACCAAAAAAAATTGGTATCTGAATTCAAAATAGAGATCTAATTTTTTTAAAAAAAAAATAACTTCATCGAAGACATGAACTACGTAATTAAAGAGCTGGCTAGTCTTTTGCACGATATGGAAACAAAATCTTTGAAAATACATCTCCACAAATATTATTTTCCCCTTAATAAAATACTACTTAAATGCCTCTGTTTTATATTTATTTCATTCATTATTCATGATCACTTCCTAAAGTTAATTGTATTTGCTCGATTTTTGGCACAGTCTATTAAATTCATAACAAGCAAGATTTAAAAGAACAGATATACAATTTTAAAAAAAATCCCCTTATCGGTTTGCGTACATTGTATAAACTTCAAAAAGTTGCAAAAAAAAATTAAAGAAGAAAACATCATATCATCGAGGCATAATACATAAATATGTCCTTTAACTTGGTTTTATTTCACATTTATGTCCTTCAATTTTAGACGTGCACAAGTAAATACTTAAATTTGTATAAAATTGAACAAATAGACACACATGTCCTACGTGACATTCTACATGACAATTTGTGTCCTACCTGATATCCTATATGTATTATGCCACATATGACTCATGTGTCTACTTATTCAATTTTATACAAGTTTCCATAGTTGGAGAGCATGAATGTGAAATGAGGTCAACTAAAGGGCATATTTATGTATTATACTTATTATCAATTATGATGATATAGTTCATAGAGTTTTGTTCATTAATTAATATCATAATATTAAAGAGAAGTATTGAAAACACCTCTAAACTCAATACAAATTATTCATTTCATTTTTAAAGTATTGACAATCTTAAAAATATTTCTTACTTAATTAACTGAACTTAATACACCTTTAATCTTGCAATATGAGTTCAAATTGAAAAATATATATTGTCGTTATATCGTGAATTTCTATATATATGTGCCTGCACAAATTTAAAACATATCCCGGAGTTTAATGGTCAACCATCCATAAGGGTCTAACGGACTAAAACTCGATGTGAAAATGTCCCAAATCTTTATGGGTCTTATAACAAAGTATATAAAAATAAATTAACTTTTATATCAAGTTAAACACTCTTAACTTTTTTTCAGTAAAATATTTTATTTATTAAGTTCAAACAATTCTCTACAATATTTCACAATAGAAAAGATTTACCAATACCTCTTTTTATAATAGTGCAAAATCTTATTTAACTATGCATTGGAAAAATTATTTTTATATTATTCAGATTAAGTGCAAAATCTTATTTAACTAGGATTAGAAAATTTATTCATATATTATTTAGACTACGTATCCTATTAAGATATAAATTATATAAATATCAAATTCTAAATAAATTTAATTTCTTATTTCAACTTTAAATTATTATTATAATATCCTTTACTTATTCCTATTCGAAATGAAATTAATATTCCCTTAGAGGTGTTGAAAAGAAAGAGGTGACAAACGAATAATTATTTTTTAAAAAAAATTAGCTGTACCTGCTGCCTGCAGCATCTTTTAATAGAAGTTATCAATTAACTATACTTAATTTTTAATTAGTGGACCTTCTCTTTAATTTTCTCTTCTTATTTTTTTATAATTCGTAGTTCAAAAGCAAACATATATGGATGCTTTCTTCCTCTAAAAAAAACAAATCATTATTAATATCATCTTAATTTCCCACCAAGTCCATCCACTTTGCCAAAAAGATTTCGGCCTCCTTCACCGGATATTTGTTGAGTGTGTTTGGTACGAAAGAAAAATATTTTGTAATTTGCTTTTTTTTTTTCCACCTTTTGTTGTTTGCTTTGAACGAAAAAATAAATCTTTGGCAGGTAACTTATGTATTGTCTCTTAATAAAATATGATAAATAATTTAGAATTTTTTTTAAAATGACTATAGTTTAAGGCTTAATTAGAGATACAGTAAAATCTCACTAAATTAATACTCGATTAATTAATAACTTCTCTAAAGTAATATTTTCATCCGGTCTCGACTTGGGCCAATAGAAAAAATCACTCATTTCGATAAGATAATAAGATAATATGTTTTCAGAAGACCCCCTATATAAATATATGGTCCCATTAATATTATAAATTAATAATTCTTTAAAAGTACAAATATATCTAAGACAATTTAGTGAAATATGATTCTATTGTGTTGTGTTTTTTGTTAAAATTTAAATATTGTTGAAGCTCATCTCTAACTTTTCTTATTGCATCCAAAAGTTTCGGTGTTGTCTTTTCGAACTGCACCATAAAATTGTGAAGAGTTCTAAATGCGATAAGTGATTCCTTACTCGTAACTAGTTCCAAATGTATTGTATCATCTTCAACTTTATCATCAACATTATTTTTTTCAATTGTATCCAAAATTTCTTCAAAGCTCTGGACCTTTGAACATGTATCATTTTCACCTTTCAACATGTTATTAACGTCCATTTATTTCGGTAACCAATATCATTAATCATGACCTCAAGTTCATGAATGACGTTTTCACAAGTGGGTTCATTTAAATTCTCTGAGATTTCATCCCTGAACAAATTTTGCGGTGTTAAAACACTCTTTAAATTAATAAATATTAATTTAATTATCGATTAAATAATACCTCTATAAAATAATAATATTTCATGGTCCCACCTATATTAATTTTGTGATGTTTTACTGTATATAGCTATAGTTTGCTTAATTGCAAATTATAGCTATATGTTAGGGGAGGAGCGAGAGATGAAGGAGAGAGATGAGTGAGATCGAGAGAGGGAGGAGAGAGGATGAATACTTGTTGTATTCGTACAATTGATACAGATATACAAATACAATATATACAAATAAAAATATAATTGTTTGAATACAATTGATTTGTATCGTATATAGAATATAATATATCATTTATATTAATGAACACAATCTGTGTCGACGGATACAATTGACAGAATGTAAATTGTCATAATACAATTAATACTACATACACATACAATTGATATATAATACACAATATAGTTGATATGAAATACAAATACGTTTGATATATAATACAACTATCACATTTATGTGGAGTAATTTTTGGAGTACAACTTTTTGGGCTGAAGAGAACAAGGGGTGAGAGAGAGAGGAAGGGGGAGGGGGGGGGGGGGGGTGGAGGAGAGATGCAAGGGAGGAAGGGAGAGAGAAGACAAATTTTTTATATAAAACATATAGTTATAAATTGTAATATTTTAAACTATAATGACTTATTATAAATACATATCATATATTTTTCTTGTTATATAATTTTTTCTGATAAGGAATAATAATAATGATGGACTGCCTCCAATAATACATTAATATACATTATTTTAATATATATGTATATAAGTTAAATTCAAAGTAAAATAGTGTTAATAAATAGAGAATAAAGACATTGACCAAGAGTGTCAGTTATGATGTAGATTCTAGATTAGTGCAGTGTTTAATTGAATGAACAATATGTGCAAATTCGTCTACAAATACTAGATATAAATTTCAGTCTCAACACAGGCTCAAGGGGAACTTAAGATAAACAAGTCAAGAGTGTATGAACACACACATATACACTATATACTTAGTTAACACACACACACACACTATATACTTACTTAGTTGGAACAAATATTTTGAGCAGGCAAAACAATGGCTACCACAATTTTACCTCTATGTACACAAAAATTATAAATAGCTAGATGTGGTTGATGTAAGCTGTTATATGCATCCAAAAGGGAGAAACTTTGTTGAGGCAACTGATTTTTTGACGTTAGTATAGGCAATCAAAATTCATCTATACATGCCTAGTGATGTGAAGGCAATCAAAATCCAGCTATAAGTCACATGATTGAGCTTCACTACACTCAAATTTTCTTCTCCTGCTACTTACACAGAGAAACTATATATTGTAAAGGAATAAATAAATTAGGCGAATATTTTATTTTAAAATGTGGAGTGCTTATTACTGTTATTTCGTCGGAGTGGGTGATCCCAATTTTTGCTTCTTAGTTCCTTCGCTAGGAAGAGTAAATGATTGTAGTTCAAGCACTCAAGCATGTAAAATGTCTGAAAATAATTGGGCAATTATATTTGACCTTCAACATGAAAAGTTTGCACCTGCGACAGTCGTACAAAGTAATATTAGTCGATTTTCTTGGTTGAAAAATCTCACTATGGAGCAGTTAATCAGTATTGACAAAGAGAGTGAAGCCATGTTTTAAACTCATTGTAGACACAATGAGGGAATGACCAAGATAGATACTATTTCATCGTTAACAGATGCAAGATTGAGGGATGAAGATTACTAACATGAGCTTTTTAAAGTATAAGCTAAGAGAATTTGTTCGTTGTCTTTTGACCTGCAAAAGGCCACAATAAATATTACTAACTTTTCGTCTTTTTTCCCCTAATATATAACTTGAAGGACAATGGATCAGAATGTTGGGTTGTGAAGGATGATTAGGGCGTCATGCGGAAGCTTACAATTGCAAATAATATAATTGATAAATTAGACTACACATAAAACTATACTAAAGGATATAATATTATTATTTGATATGACCATTGGTCTACATAATTAAAAACTAATAAAAAACATAAAAACTGTAGAGAGAAAATCTCTCCATAAACAAAACTCTCTAAACAACTACATTGTGGATTCTATTGTGTTTTTGATATGAGAAGAGGGG